AGTAGAATATTTAAAGTCAATGATAGGTATTATCTTTTCACCTGCTTTATGTGTTTTTAACTGAACTTTTAATTTTGGTATCCGTTCGTTGTTTTCGTTTAAAATAAACCATTTTTTAACATAATTTATTTTTCTTAATTTTTGTAATTTTGTAATACGATTCTTCATTTCTTTATATATGACATATTTTGGGTTGATCGGTAACTCTCGAAATTGATTATTCGTGATGACTTCTTATTTTCTTGCTTCTACCCATTTTTCTGAAACTATAAGAATTTCTAAGTAAAAATAATAAAATCCATGGCCGGCGTTATTTACATTTAATACATAAAAAATATAAATTCGACTTTTAACAAAGCTAAAAACTTTGTACTTGTCCTTCTTTTCGCCGTTCTCACCATCAGCAATACTTTAAAAAACGTTCACAAACGTGATAACTCTGTAACAATATGTAAAATCACGTAAACGTGATTTTACATATTGTTACAGAGGTAGTAGCCTCAAAAGGAAGGTCGCCTCTGTGATTTTTTGTGAACGTTTTTTAAAGTATTGCTGATGGTGATAACGGCGAAAAGAAGGACAAGTACAAAGTTTTTAGCTTTGTTAAAAGTCGAATTTATATTTTTTATGTATTAAATATAAGAATTTCTTTTGATTTGTCAGCTTTTATAATCTCTATGTTATATTTGTCGTGTATTATCTTGTGTTTAAACTAATTTTGATCTCTAATGATTGTTTTATTTTCTTCTCTTTTAATATAATTTTTAATATTGTTACTAATTTTTATTTTTATAATAAAATTTTTATTTTTATAATGTTTGACTCATTCTCTGGCATATTATTACACATATAGTACAAATTCGGTAATATATCTATTAACCTCTATTGATTTGGGCCATTAAAATCTAGACCTGTACTTAACATATTAAGTATGTGTTTTGGTATTATTACGTTTGTTTTATTCAAGACGAACGATTTTTTAGATTTATAAAATACTAGCAGGTAAGACAACGTTACCTTGGCAAAAAAGAAATCTAATTATCTTAATGTTTGTTGTTATTTCGTACTTCTGATATAATATTATATTTGATTTATATAATTACGAAAGTTATCTTCTGTAAGGGCTTATCACATGAAATGACCAATATAACATATTTTAAAAGTTCTTTAAATTGTGTACAGTGGAAAAATAAAGAATTTTTAAAATGTGTTAGAGTGGTCATTCGTTGTGATAAACCCTTATGTAAGATAACCTTTGTCGTTGTATAAATCAATTACTGTAATATAACAAACATTAAAATGAAAACCGTATAAGTGTTTGGTTATTTCAGCCTACCATTGTCACGTTTATCGCGATACTCGGATGGTACAAAATGGGACAATTTAATCGGTCAAGTAGACATTAATTGAAAATTTATCTTAAATTTTTAAAGATATTTCATTTTTTCCTAATGTTAACTCTGCTGAAGGATCTAACATAAGCTTAATGTTCTTTGCGATCTTTGCTTGAACAGAAACGTCTCGAGTAGCCTTCCTTACATTCATTGTAAATGTTTTCGTATTAAATAATTTAATTGAACAACGAAATCGTCGTACATAATTATAATTATAAATTAAAATATTAATAAGTAAATTAAAATATATATAATTATTTATAAATATTTTTTTAAATGGAATACATAATGGCGATACACAATGGCGAATACATAAAGTATATTCATATCATTTTATATAAGATATAAATTATTTTCCTTGTGAGTTTAAACGTTCAATGTTAGTAAATATGTTTTTACAATATATTGTATACAACTTATCCTACATACAGTAAATTCGATTATCCCGTATCGGATTAACCGGGATATTCATTAATCTCGATAATATTGTTATTTTATTATACTGGTATTCCGTTCGCAGAAAAGGAATACCACTATAATAAGTCTTAATAATACGCTAAGTCCTAAGTAGACATAATATAACAAAAATACTATAAAATAAAAACATAAAGGCAATTGAATTAATAGTGAGTAATTGGAAAATTAATATATGTATATTAGTGATGTAACGAATATTCGGTTACTATTCGGTATTCGGCCTATTCGGCCTATTTTTCACTATTCGGCCGAATACCGAATATTTAATCACAGGAGTAATAAATAACAAAAACACAGTAAATTAATCATTTTGNTGTGTATATATAAATATATCTAATAATATTTCCTTACTATATTTTTTATATAAACCAAACATATTATAATTAAACATAAATATTATAACAGCTGTGAGGTGTCAGAAGAGGTCCGAAATTGCGTAAATCGCGGAATTTTTGTGTTTAAATTATAACGATAGATTATATAAGAAAAGAAAATTGTAGTTGTTAAAACAAGTGCGAAAGACGACTGATGTAACGGATCAAGTAAAATGTCAGCTGGAGAAGATGGAACTCTGACACTAGCGTTTATAAACAGTCGATTCTGGATTAAAAAGTCAAAAAAGGGGAAAAATTAAACGGTTAAGAAAACATCACGTGTAGTCGTTAATTTCCAAAAAATTGACAGAAAATAGAAACAACGGGCTAAATTATGAGCGCACGACTTACGGATTTATCAACGAAATCCAGCGATAGTCGATAAAAAGGTACCACAAATGGACCTTTCTCGTGAACCGAACAAGTCCCGGGTTTCACCTAGAAACAAAAAGGGAAATCAATCGGAACGAGGAAGGGAATACAGAACCTATCAAAAGGCGAGATTAGAGGGAAAAATCTTATAAAACCCCCCGAACTCAAGGGCAAATCGTCTGTTCTCTTTCAATTTTGGCATGCTCGCCTGCGCGGCGCATAAATTCTCGTGCGCGGCAACAATTTGAACAGTGCGCGGTCGAGCATCCGCGCAGCTTAGAGGGAACATTGGTCATAGACAAAGTATAAAGAGTGCGATCTGTGATATACCGGTACAATACTTGTGTTTTCTGTTCATAATTATAAATTATTAATCCTTGGTTCAAAATTATTACTGAAAAGTGAAAATAAAATAAATTTATGGGTAGACAACTTGTTTGAAAATGAATTATTCTATTAAAAAATTAATATTATAAGATGGTATCATAAATAAATAAGACATAGGGAGACTTAAAATTTTGTTTTTCACCCTCTGAGAGAAGTGCTATTATTATTAGTAATTGAACGTTCAGTGTTATGCTAAGTATATAGCCTAAAAATTTACTGTTTGCATTAATTATAAATTCATTACTCACATTACATATGTAACCATCATGTTGTTTGTATAATAATATTTTGGAAAGGATAATTAAAGAAAAAACAGGGTTCAAGAGTAAAACCTCCTCTCACTCACAGCGAATTATAGATGGAGGGAACGTGTTGTTTACTAATGGGAACTATTTCGCCATTTTTGAATCAGTGCAATTTTAAAATTAAGTACGTATTCGGAATCAGAACACAACCTCTGAAATCAATATGTCTGATCAATTTAACTATTTTAAAACTACCTTAACCTAAAAGCTAAATACCTTATAAAAACCTTATATAAACATAAATTTTAGTAGTTTTATGGAATGAATGCTATTTCCAACGTTCATTATCTAAACAAATTACAACATTCTACATAATTTCATCAATTACCTTATACGCAGTAGATTTCAACATTAATTAATAACAAATTTAAGATTGTTCAATTCCATAAGGGCAGATAGAACCAAATCTCGACATATAATTTTTATTATAAATAAAATCAAATAATAAGCACAAATAATTAATTTTTATTATCATTAAATTCCAAATATAAAAATTAACAATACTTCTTTGCTTTTTTTATGAAATTCACCTGAACACGAACTATATTTAAATAATATTATATCTTCATAATTCCTGTTATAGTTCTTAAATAATCTTTTATTAGTTTTAATTTTGAAAAGCTGANGTAGCCGAATATTCGTGGCATCTCTAATTGATATCTCAATTCCTCGTATAACCGAAGTATTGATAGGTCTGCCTTCGAGTTGTTGCTTGGTACCAAAATGCATTTAAAGGAGGACCTCGAACTACGAGAACTGATCGAGAAAGAAAAAATTTTGTGCTTTGAGGAAGAAAGGGATGAAATTAGGGCAACGGCAAAAGAAAACATTAAGAAACTGCAAGCGGAGAACAGGAAAACATTTAACAAGAAAAGGAAACGCCCCATCAAATTCTCAGTCGATGATCTAGTAGCTATTAGGAGGACGCAATATGGGCCCGGCTTAAAAATTCATCCAAAGTTCTTAGGGCCGTACAAAATCAAGAAAGTTTTAAGAAATGACAGATATTTAGTCGAGAAGGTAGGTGATCACGAAGGGCCAATGCAAACGTCTACATCTGCTGACAACATGAAAGTGTGGGTCCGTTCAACTAACGAAGTATTCTACCGGTCAGACGAGGACATCGGGGACGATGTCAGCTGTCAGGATGGCCGAATGTGGGGTTTAGGCGAGTAACATTCCTAAGCCGTTAAGACAATAAAATTTACGAGGGGTTGTGGGGAGGCGAGGAGAACGAGGGAGAGTCAAGTAAGGGCAGTAGTAAACAAGACGACGGTGGGTGACGACGCAAAAGGTGGAAAGTGGAAAGGAAACAAAGGACGTTACGAAGGCGAAAGCATTATTATTCCGTCAAGACGGTTACGACGGTTACGAACTCTGGAAGTTTATTGTCATTTCTATAATTCTCAATCTCAATACCTTTTATCCTACATTAATCACGTCGTACAATTCTTTTCGACAGAAATATTCTGGCTTCGTCAATTTAATATTTGTGGTTAATTTTACACTTTTCATAATACTGAAAGCGAGTGCGTAAGTTAAAACTAAATTAACAATAAGCATTTTCGTAAAGATGACGTCATTCTCGATTAGTAAGTTCCACGGTTGACAAGGAATCATGTCTGACAAAACCGGTATTGTCATGGAAAACTGCAAACAGAAAAATATCCAGTAGAAATATTCGATGAAGAATGAATAAAGNTCGAAAAGAATTGTACGACATGATTAATTATACTAGAATTATCGTTTGTATTATTGTTGTAAGATTATCTATTTGTTGTCAAGCATTCAACATGTTTTATGTTTATCCTGCTGTAGAAGAAGGAAAAACTTACGAGCACGAAGCACTGTTTTGCAGCGTAGAATTTGGCATTTTCTTTAATTTAACTTCGGGTGGAATATTGTATGTAACTTTTTCACTTTTTTTACTTGCAATCATATTAATGAACATATTCCAGAAGCTATCGAAAGATCTGCAACTACTCAATATGAATCATCCTAATTTGGAAACGGAATTAGAAGTAATTATGACACAACACAACGAACTTTGGAACTATGCGAAACAATTGAATGGCCCATTCAATTACGTATTGACAATTTTGTACAGTTCTCTAATAGCAGATACCAGTCTACTGAATTATATTTTAATTTTTTCGAAAATGAATTTTGCATTAAGAGTTTTCATGTGCATCTTTTGTGCTGCAATATCAATTGATTGTATTTTAGTAGGACTTTTAGCATCCGCTTTCACATCTAGTGTAATTTTTCTATTGTATTAAATACGTTATTCCGTGATTTATTTATTTGTAACTTGGTTTCCTTTTTTCTTTCAGATGCATACATCGTTTCAAGACATTCGAAGATTCGCACAATGCGATTTGAAATTGGAACAGAAATTAAAAGTAAAGCGTTTGTTATAAAATAGGTTAGCGTTACTTTTTAATTTGCATAAAATTATTTTAAACATTTTTCTGCAGATTGTGAATTTTATGAAAAGATTTGGAAAGGCGTCTTTATGTTTATCTATCAACGGTTTCTTCGACGTTACCAAGATGTTTCCTATTAGTTGTTTGTTTATATTTATTTATAACTTGAAACATTCACAAAATGCACAATAGAAAACGTCGTTGTAAGTGCCGATAGAATAAACAGACAAGAAAACAGTTGTTATGATATTTATTTCTAATTATAATATGTCTGGCTAATATATAAAATATGGAAAAAATATTATTGTATGTATTTATATATACACATCAGTTTTTCTATTCTGTAAACTAGAAAGCTTTTTTTTTCGTACCCAATACATCGATTGGGTAGAACCACTGGTAGTTGGTGGAAGATTGACTCCTGACCGAGGACTGGCCAACTGCAGTTTTCCAGTATTTTTTTAGTTATCTAACATTACTTACAACTTAAAACATACACAAAACAAGGCCTATTCTGCTCTCAATTCAAAATCGTCTCTGAAAACGTTTTCTTTGGCAGATCGCCCTTACATCGCAATGCCATATTTCATCAATTCAATTTTCAATACGGATCAAGTGAGTTCGAGTAGAAAAAGAGAGAATGGATGGTGTAAGAAAGAACACAACGAAACAGATCAAACATTAAAACTTTGGAAGATTTACTTCATGGATTGTACTCTGGGTCTTTAGAGTAAAAGGCTGATAACTACATTGTCTCGGTTATTTATAAAAGATATCTGTAAAACACAAAACTTACAAATCGATCAAAGAGATACGATTATATAATTGATTAATTGCAAAATTAAAACTTCACCATAATTTAGCATAAATTGTTGGGGTTAAATGTAAATAGCTTTTGTTTACTATCCTAAAAATTTTAATGATTAGATTTTGCGTGATAACACAATACTCTATATATTCATTCTATTGGCCTTGCATTATATAAACATATCGAAAAAGATATAGCGAAGTTGAGGTTTGGAATCCACAATCGTTCAATCGATCGTAAGACGAGTATATCGCATTCTCATCTATAACTAGTCGTTATAGTTTTCATTTTACAGACACACGTAACACCTTGACGTTGAATTTTAAAAGTCTAAGAAACAGAAAATTCAAATTTCTAATTACATTTCTATAAAATTACGCAAGTGTTACGAAATAATGGAAAATTTTTTGGCAAAGATTGAGGCAGAAGATGATGAGTATATTAGAGAAAGAAAAAATATGAACACAGAAGCAGAGATATGTTTGAAATGCCTTTTATCTTCGTTTACGTCTGTAGCAAGAGTTTACGGATATACATTTTTCGTACCTTGTACCTGCCACATCCGAAACTATGTTAATGTTCACCCAATTGTAACAAAATTTCATTCATTCTTCATCGAATGTTTCTACTGGACATTTTTCTGCCTCGTGTTTTCCATGACAATACCGGTTTTGTCAGANTGCTCTTTTGGAATATTTTTTAACTTGCTTAGAGCATAGAGAAAATCAAAATTTTCAAAATGTTCATTTAAAGACATAAATCCCGAATCCATATTGCTTATTATAGAATCAATCATGGTGTTAAAAAAATCTGTTTCGTAGCTGCTTTTGGGAGACTGTATAGGTTGATCGCTGTCTTCGTAATCGAACATCCTTTTCTTTTTGGCTACCCTTTCGTTTTTAAGTCATTTGGCAGTTCATAACTGCTATTCTCAATAAATTGACGAGCGTCAGACAAGCATTTTTCGAATTCAGTTTGTCAATATTCTTTGATTTAGTCACAAAATGTACGCAAATGTTCAAGAGCAATGCTTAAATGAACTTGTAAAGATTGCCATAATTTGCTTATGATATTAACACGCGATAATATCTCATACCATACATGTAATGATATGATGAATTCTAAACTGAGCATTTCGTTTAAAACCGAATTACAATCACTGAGTGTGTCTGATTGTTCCGTTTGATTTTTTAAGCTTTCGATGCATTCAACATCAAATTGCAATAATACGGCCTTCACTGCCTCGATTCTGCTTTCTCACCTTGTGTCTGATAAAGGCTTCATAGTAAGCTTTAATTTGCCTTTGATTAATTCCCAGCGTTTGCTGGAACTAGAAAATAGCAAATAAATTTTTTGAATAAAACCAAAAAATGATTTTCTGCCACCGAAGAATTAGCTGCGTCTACCAACAGCAGATTCTAGCTATAACAACCGCAAAATGTAAAAAATGCCCTGGGATTAATATTTAATATTCGAGTTTTAACTCCACTATTTACGGAATACTTTACTGCGATACTTTGATTGGCTTTTTAGCCGTTGAGAATCGTGAAAGTAACGTAAACAAACACAATGGGAAATCCCCAGCTCTGGCTGGCAAGGATTCCCTGCGATAGCAACCCAACGCCAGCAAATGTTGCTCGACAAATAAAAATAAATTTGGTATGTCAATATATTTATCGTTTTATGACGAGTAAAATTTTTTCGTTGAATTTACGGCTTTTATGTAATGCATAAACCTTCGAAGCGCGAGGCCCCTCAAACAGCGAGGCCGTAGGCGGTGGCACACGTCGCCCACGCCTTACGCCGCCTCTGCGTATAGCTTTAAACATAAACAGCTCCTTGTCCAAATAATAAGACCCTTTTGTCAAACGTTTCCGATAGACGTGCCTGTGAAAATTGATTGTTTAGTTTACAAGTCTTCTCAAGTTACGCTTCTTGTAACGGTGACAGCCGAGTGTGTAGTATATACTAGGCACTGGCGCTAAGCAGTAAAAGTTCACTAGTTAATTTTTTTCACACGTGTAACAAAATTATCTATTATTTTACTGTATGATTAGCATTGTTATTACTATTATTATTCATCGTGTTTAAAGTTAAAAAACAGCACGAAACTTATTGAAAGCACGTTTACAACATGAAATTACTCTATTCTCAAGTGATAGTTCACTAGGTCAATAATGTCCACGATAATGTATGCTTTGAAATAGAGAATAAAGTTGTGTTTAACGTTTTAGATACACAGTTCAAGGATTTGATAATTTTATTACTTTTAAAAAATATTTAAGCTGGGTGACGTCGCAAACGTCATTAATTACTATTCCAGTACGACCGTGTATATAGAAAAAAATATATTTAATACGACCGTAAACAAAATTTAATTATGTACAAGTGATATAACAGACCAAATCTTAGAAAATTAACATATTTACCTCACATTACAGAAAACAACTATCCCGCACAATTATTGACAATAACGCTAGAAAACAAACAATACCTATAACATAATTTATACAGAACTAGATTATACACCGGTTATTTTTAAAGACATACAGAAAATATTAAAACCTTTCAATATTATTCTTGCTGGCACATTGAACAAAACAATCAAAACTTTCTTAAAAATTAGAGAATCAATTAATAGATAAATGAATGTAATGTTTAATAATAATTTGGTTTATATCTTCACTTGTACTTGTCAATCAGATTGTTGTTACGTGAATGAAACAGGAAAAAGATTAAAAATTAATATAACGGAGCATATATGAACTGTGACGTATAATTATATTAATACAGAAGTCGCCATGTAATCGTGATGGTTGCGTGATCTCATCAGACAGCGTCAAAATTGTATATAGTTTTATTAATATATGTAATAAGGACTAGAAAGGGACATAATACCCGAAATGCATTTTCGTTTAAAAAATAGAAAATAAAGTCTTTTTCATTAAAAGTAGTGTTCCTGTACGGTAAGTTTTTGCGTAGCGAGTCTGATATTAAAATCCAAAGAACATACAATTAAGACAAAAGAGATTAAAAATCATGACATCATATCTGGTTTAGCAAAACGCAGTCTCTGTATATGTGTGACTGTTACGTCGGCAATGCCCAAGTCACGATCGAAATCACCCGCAGGGTTCGTGTTGCATGGCGCCAAAATCGTCACTTGGCGATATTTTTATTAAATGGCGATAAAAATTTTAGTCTTCCTGTGTCGAAATTCGGCGTAAAATTCAATCACAAATCAGACTTCGGGAAAATTAGCAAAATATTGAACTTCCGTCCCGTGCACCACATACCTAGCGATTTCCTGACGTCACGTGCCAAATTCGATCAAAAAGTATTTATAGGAAATGACGCCGAGAGCCGAAAGCAGTTTTGTGCAATGACACCCAGCATGTCTAAAGTGGGAGTTTATATCGAATGACAGAAATTTTCGGATGACAAACAATTGATAATTACTAAAATTATTAATAAAATACAAGACTTTTACCTATGACCTTTTAATAAAAAGTAGACAATTAAGGTTTAAAAGGTTAAGATGCAGATCTTAACCTTTTAAATATTACAAACTTTTGATATAATATTCGTCCCTGACCATTGATTTCTGATCAAATAATTTCACCTGTTTATACTTGGACTTATACACGGCTTTGGACTTTTAATAAAAGTCCAAGGCCCTCTATTATTAGGAGTAGATAAAAAAAATATACCAAATGGGAAACAACGAAGTTCCAGAGTTGGTATTATTTATCAGCGGTCGATTCAAAAAGTCATTTTCTGGTTTTGTCAAGTATTAATTGATGATAATTATTTTTGAGTCCCCGCATAACGAAACCTAACCCGCAATTCGCGTTTTCTTTCAGTTCGGTTCTCATATAGATGGAGGCTTCGATGCAGTTCTTGATTATGTCTAGTTTTTCGTTGATACATTCTTCGAAATCTTAAATATCTCCGCTCTCGACTGTCTTTTCTACACTAGCCTTTCTGGCACTTGTGCTGTTTTGGGGGTACGGCTGTCTCGATGTAAATAAATATAATTCAATTTTGTTTAAGACATGAAAGAGATTAGGCATTTAAAAAGCAGAGAAGAATTATTAGTTGTATATTGCATTGTTATACGTTATTATATGTTGATTTTAATTAATATTTAGAATGGAATGATGTTTTAATATTTCTATTAATGATGTGTCGAAAGTTCAGCGAATTCTTGGCAAAAAAAAAAAAAAAAAATTTATCTGGAAACTCGTTAGAGATGAATACTCACGTCACCGAATAGCACCGACAAATGTCACGTGACGGCTTCGTACGCCGATGTGCCGCTCCGCGACGAAAACAAGCTTAAGCAATGGCGTCTTCGAACGGAGTACACTCGGTTATTATTTCGATAATTTTTTGTTTATAACATATTTTATATGAGTTATTCCAAAAACATTATACGTGTTTAGGAAATATTCGAGTGAAATTAGTCTAGAATCTATTAATTTTATAGAATAAAACCTTTCAAACAATCGTACGCCTAAACTGCACAAGTGCCGCCTTTCTTATCAGAGTGATTAATATACTGTATTTATTATTTACTATATATTATCGACCTACACGTTCCAGGCACCAAAAAACGAAAAATTTTATTCACCACATTAAAACACTTCGAACCAGATAGGTCTTGTGTACTGCAATGAGAAACTTGATTACTAACAATGAAAGCAAAATTTTAGACAAAAGACTTTGTTCCTATTGTTAACTGCCAACTCAGAAATTGCCTAATTAAGTGGAAAACTTCTGTAAACAGTTATAAAGTGAAATGGTTAAATTATATATGTATGTGTATTATAAGATTGGGTGAAAATAAATAAATATATTTAATTAAAGATTATAACAAGTTAGGACATGTTTATTTTTTTATTTTCTCCTAATCTTATAATACACTTACATATATCAATTTTAACATTTCATTTTAAAAGTGTTTACAAGAGTGTTTCCACTTAATTAGGCAATTTCTACCTTGGCAGTAAACAATACGAACAAAGTCTTTTGTCTAGGGTAAAAGTTTATTCTTACTTCATGGGCCTTTTTTTTTCTAATTTTGCTCTCTTTAGACATTTGTCTAGTAGACGTGTCCTAAACACATAGAATTATTTGGGGGAGACGCGTATATTAAGAGCTATAAGCGAAAACTGATCGGACTACTTTACCGACTGTGCACGGTGGAGGCCACCGTTGCTTAACCTTGTTCACATCGCGGAGTAACACGTTGGACGGCGGACGCTTACAATTCGTGTCACGTGACCTCGGTTAAACGTCATCAGTCACGTGAGTGGTGACGACGAAGCGAGATGGTCACGTGACTACAGCTCTGACGCATTTCCAGACAACTATACCTTGAGTCACGTGATAGAGTACAGTGCGTTGGTAGACATTGCGAACAAGGGACAGAGAAAAAAAAAGATGGCGACGTCCGTAATATTGACAGTATCGTGATGGCAGGATCTATAATTTTAAAATATGCGTTTTTAGAGATAAAATAATAAAAAAGACTTCCAATAGCAATTTAGTAGTTACGAAAAAAAAACTCGATACGACACTTACCAATTACACCGGGTATATATATATATATATAATATAATATATTGACATGCGCTTTCATAACTTGTAATTTTTCATTCATAAAATTACATAATGGACACTAAAACGGAACTATCCGAGCCCACGTTGAAACTACTATTACAAATACCCGTTGTTGCGTCCGACAGCGCGCTTCCCGCCAGAATGTAGAAACAAGTTCGGAATTAGTCAGAATTAGCCTTTATTGCTAACACGTGACTACTTCTTGGGGGCAACCCGAACTTTGCTCGAGTTACTCTTCCGTAACACCGTAACATTCTATAACGAAATTCACGAGTTAAGATTTGACAACGACGATTAATTTTTCGAGATTAACTTGTTAAAAAGAGAACAAAATCAAATTACTTTAAAATTCAGATTAAATGTTTATAAATTTATTATCTAAATTTATAAACATATATGTTTTACATAGCATAACTAATTTTTTAAGTTTAAAAATGTAAAGTTCCATTTCTCTACGCTTCATAACCGAATTTCCCGACTCTCATAGAATCATTTTGACTGACCGTTCCGGAGGCCATGGACTCTACAGTCCAGCTCCTATAGTGGACGAGACGCAATATAGATTGTAAGACAAAGTAAATAAACGGGTTTATTTGTTACTGCAACTGTCGGCCTCACTTTCCTTCACCCATATACGATAAATCCTGGCATTTGGATATCACTGATTCGGCGACTTCAAAACTGACGAAAATGTGTTATCATTCTTAATTTAATTTGTATTTTTATTCTATAGTCTTATTGTTTTCCATCGAAAATATTATTTTTAAAAATTTACTGTTAAAAAATTATATGCAATTAAAAAAACATTTAAATAAATTTTGATAAATAAATGTTTTTGCTTATCCATACAAAAATAGCATTAAAAATCCGTGTAAATATTTAGAATTAGAACATTTCAAAGACACGAAATTTAGCAAACTTTGAATTCATTACACATAAACTAAAAATTAAGAAAATTCTGAATTAACATTATATTCTAGCAATTAGCAATATATAAAAGCTGGCGCCTGGGTGTGTGAATTCTTTATAACTCTTATAATTTTTGTCCAATCCAAATGAAATTTTGGTTATATCGATTCTATGTTCTGATGGAAAGTATTAAATTACTGTGATCGTACTTATTTTGCAGTGACGTAAGTGACGACGTGAAGTTATATTTCTAAAAATAAGCCAACACGGTTAAACCTAGTAAATTAAAGCTATGTTAGAGTAAACTTCTTTACTCTACGACGAAAATCGTTGACAGAGTGATAATCTCTACTGGTTGTCGTTGAATCTTGAAGTGAATCTACAAATCAGAAAGTATAAAAATCAAAATACATTATAAAATTATACGTAAATAAAAACAAATGATTTTATATCATTAACAAGCGCTAATAATAAAATCTCAATAAATCTCAAATAAATCTCAAGCGCTAATAATAAAAAAATTTATAAATAATAAATTTAACGAATTCCATTGTAGCAAAACAATTCTAGGAAACACTGTAATTAGCTAATAGCCAGCACAAAAGAGCATTTTAAATCCTATTGTTAACGGCTCTCCCACAAGTTTACGCGGGGCCCTCGGGGGCCCAATTTTCTCTATAAACCTCGTTCTAACAAAAATTTCTTCCATTTCCAGTTTAGGTCTGCTAGCAGTGAGACATTCGCTCTAGTCGTTTGGTTCGTTTGGACTTCGATTTTGGTAAGTGGACCATCTTTAGTGCGATTATTTGTAGTTTAAGGTGTCACAGCCATCCGTCTAGTAAAAATAGTAATAGTAAAGCGTAGTCTAAATTAGTATAATCAAGTTAAAAATAATCGTTCGACCATGTGCGAAACCAACGTACCCAGTTGTAGAGTTTGTAAAGTGCATAGAAGAGGCACAAAAATCTCTAGATTTCAGCAGGAATATGAAGAAAGAGTATTACGAAATGTATCAATAAGAACCTTCAGAGAGCCAAGGACATGTTCCTCGTCCTAAATGCCGCATACAACGGCAAAATCAGCAGGAATCGATAACCCTAACTGCTCCTTCTCCCGTTTACAAATGTGTTTAAAATGCACAAATTCTTCATGTAATATTTATATTTATAAAAAAATGTGTAACTTTTATTTGAGTTCTTAATAGCGCTTCTCGTAGAAAATGGCGCTATCAAATATTGTCGGGAAAGTTAAGCAACTCGTTGCTGGATTTTTTTACCTTTGAGATAACTATTAAGCATTCAAAAAGGAACCAAAGCAGTACCTTAAAGATTCACAAAGGGTCAGTNAGAAGCGATCGGAAACTGCTGGCCCGACATCGTCACAATGCCGGGCTGCAATTTCTCGTCACAATGTTCTTAATTGTTATAGCCCTGTACATACATCATACATTTCCTGTTATCAATTCAGTCATGTCGATCTAACTGTTTCAAGTGAAAATTTTGAATTGAAATATAGAGTTAATCTGGGCTTTATGCTAATAAAGCTTATGAGCATAAGGCCAAACCGAGTATTGCAGCCTAATAATTTTTCTATAAACGCGATATTTATGAGAACATACCTTCACATAGTTCATACAAACTTGCAAAAATATAAACTCTTTATTATCACATAAAGCAATACTCTTGCATTATTACAAGATTTTTTTATTTAAACAAGTCATGCGAAATTTTTCGGACTTAAAGTTAGCAACTTCGATCACTTACGGGAGCCATCACAACCTGTCTAACCAGGNATTTGAGTTCTTAATAGCGCTTCTCGTAGAAAATGGCGCTATCAAATATTGTCGGGAAAGTTAAGCAACTCGTTGCTGGATTTTTTTACCTTTGAGATAACTATTAAGCATTCAAAAAGGAACCAAAGCAGTACCTTAAAGATTCACAAAGGGTCAGTCAAGTAATAGCGGTCTTTTTGAAAGTTGAAAAACAAATTTCTTTTTACTTATGTTTAACATAAAATGTATTATTCATTATTTTACGAGCTTGCATTTTATTTATAATTTATTCTTAATTTTTATCACTATAGAAAGAACGTCTACACTAAAAAGTGGTTTGTGAATCCTTCATTCAGATTAAAGTTGACAGGACTCATTAAAGTTAAGATAAATAGTAATAAGTGTTAATAATAAATTATTATTATTTTTTTTTTTACAGAAAATAGCTCGACATGGCCTTAAGAGTAGTGTACTCCACGTTCTTCGCCCTCGTCATTAGGATAGCTACAGGTATTCAAATAGACAGAGGATATCAAGTTGCGCTGTTAGAGGCACTTAATGTATACAACACATCTTACAGAGGCCTTGACTTAACCGATGNATTTTTCGGACTTAAAGTTAGCAACTTCGATCACTTACGGGAGCCATCACAACCTGTCTAACCAGGATAATTTTTTAAATATTAATAGTAGACCGGTAGTAATTAATATTCGTTGACAATCCAGTGACTGCTTTTTGTCGAATTACTTGAACTCCCTTTCCGCAAGACGCCCTTCTTTCTGTCAAACCAACAATATCAGGATCTTTCCTAGCTGGATCCAACAAAAGGTGCACAGCATAATCCAAACGTACTGGTAGACCAGATGGGACAATTCAAACACAGGTAGGATTACTAAGGACTTCTTCCCGCATACTACAGACAGGAATAACACCACCTGTCAAATGGTCTCCTTTCAACTCACCCAGTTGGTTACCGGACATGGGAACTTCAGGACCTATCTTAAAAGATTCCTACATAAAACGGATGGACGCTGTCCATGCAATCTAAAAGAGGAAGAAGCTATTGTGCACATTCTCTTCAACTGTCCTTTTTTACAGAGTGCAAAGGAAAACCCTGGCAGACATCGTATACAGTGCAGGACTCCATTGGCCTTGCAAACTCAATGAACTGATTAGTTACAAAAAACACTCTCAAAGCTCTTAGGGACTTCGCAAAGAACATTAAAATATTGGATTACGTTCCATCACTCTCCTTATCAACTCTAAGTGGTGTTTTTTTCGCACCTGCTATAAATATTGCAAAATAATCTCTTGTAGGCCTATATGTTATATGTCTAAGTTTACATCTGTATGTATTTTCTGTATATTAATTCACAATTATGTAATCACAATATTTTTTGCTGTATTATATTACCTGTCGCGTATCTTATGTTTAACATCAGTCACTAATATGTTTCTATGTATCTTGTACTAGCAGATTCCGCCACGCGTTGTTGTGGCTCAAAATGTATCTATTATAAATGTATAACACTTCCCCCGTGGGNATAGGTTAGCGTTACTTTTTAATTTGCATAAAATTATTTTAAACATTTTTCTGCAGATTGTGAATTTTATGAAAAGATTTGGAAAGGCGTCTTTATGTTTATCTATCAACGGTTTCTTCGACGTTACCAAGATGTTTCCTATTAAGGTATGCGAGTCATTCAACTTTTGCAATATATTAATTCATCATTTATATATAAATTTGAATTTGCAGATGTGTAGAGCTCTGCATTCCGTGTATTCGGGTCTCTTAAATTTGAGGACCGTTTCCAAGAAGAAATACTGCTCTTACTGAGATGTGAACCTAAGAATCTATCCTTTCAATATAATTTCATATCATAACGTTTTAATTAATAAATCTTAATTAATTCATTTATATGTGATAAATTATTATCGTTTCTTGTCTCATTATTGTCTATTGTGATAATTTACATTGTTGAAATTAGAATGAATGTTTCGAACAATATTTTACTTAAATTTTCATAAATTGCTTAAATAAATATAAATGTATTATCGATTTTAATATTTTAAATAAAATTTCAGAATTGCTTATTTTATGTAAAATTTCAATTTTATATTAAATTGTTTCAAATAGTAGGAATTTTTAAAAGTAAATAAATTCACTTATTGTAATAACTCTGTTTGAAGTCGGGACTTCACCCTCCAACGGAAAACTGGCTGTCGAACGGGGAAATAAACCGATGACTTATTTTGTAAACAAGACCGGGGCTACGAAGGAATGGCGGTGCGATTTAAATTAATTGTACACTTCCAATCGTAGATCGTGAGATCGATCGCCGGGGAAAGTACAGCGATCACTTCAAAGCGAAGATTGTGGATGCTCTTTCGGCGACAGAGGCGGCTGCGGTGATTGAGACTGACTGGACCCAGATACATTTTCTCCGGGATAGAAAAAACACATTTAGCCGAAATTTACGGGACTGTCGCGCGTAAAATAACGTGACCCAACCCGGAGGAAAGCGGCATAGGCTAGGGTGTTCGGCGATCCCGCAGTCAGAATTGCATTCCTGGCAACAGGCTCAGTCCAATTGAGTCACAGGAGGACCACCGTTCGGACTAACCAAACAGATGGATTTCGGTTGAAAATCTCATAAAAGAACGAAATCCCAACGGCACGGGGGAGGTTGTGAAGGAAATCGTCAGAACCTGGGCTCTATCGTTGTACTTATTGAGGAACGTCGGACCTCTTCCGCAAGACAAGAGAAGCCCGGGGATTTGTGGACAACGAAAGCAAACAGAGACTTAACTTCCCACGCTGCGAGATCGCGAGAGGGTCGTTGTGCCTTCCACTTAAGGCAGACCAATGTTGCGCTACCACACCGTAGGCAAGTGGCATTGACGGTTCATACGTGTGTGGTTGATAATAATAAGCGAAAGATAATATTAAGCGGACGAAATATGCGATCGAGGCGTCGCCTATAAATTATGTAACGCTATTTTTATACNAAGATAGTTACAGGTATTCAAATAGACAGAGGATATCAAGTTGCGCTGTTAGAGGCACTTAATGTATACAACACATCTTACAGAGGCCTTGACTTAACCGATGGTTACCATGGTAATAATAATAATTCCAGATATTCGCCAGCTGTATTGCTAAGAGGAGATCTAAGGGAACTTAGATTACCCACGGAAACCTGTAAGAAAGCATTGAGTATACTCTCGCGAAGCAACGAATTCACTCTTATGGCTACTTTGAGGCAAGAACAGAGGAATGCTGGCACGATATTGGCTTTTACTGAAGGTAATAGCACGTTTTTAGAATTGGAAAGCAGTGGAAGAAAAAATGAAATTAGATTGCAATATTACCATAACAACCTGATCCACATGGAACCATTTTTTTATTATTTAGCTGATAATAATTGGCATAATCTTTCAGTAACTGTTAGTGGAAATAATGTTGCCATTTATGTGGACTGCAGTCTTATTTATAACAAAGTTATTAAAGACATTGATAGGAGTTTTACCAATAGGAATGTCACTTTATGGCTGGGACAAACAAATACCAACCAAAAGTTTTTCAACGGATGTTTACAAGATGTTAGAATAATAGGAAGGCCTCATGGATACACATTGCAATGTTCTAATTTAGCAACTGAGTGTCCAACATGTGGTCAATTCAGAGAACTTCAAATTTNACCTTGAGTCACGTGATAGAGTACAGTGCGTTGGTAGACATTGCGAACAAGGGACAGAGAAAAAAAAATGGCGACGTCCGTAATATCGACAGTATCGTGATGGCAGGATCTATAATTTTAAAATATGCGTTTTTAGAGATAAAATAATAAAAAAGACTTCCAATAGCAATTTAGTAGTTACGAAAAAAAAACTCGATACGACACTTACCAATTACACCGGGTATATATATATATNACACATGTTTGTCAATGTAATAGTGGATATCAAGGAAATGGAACTACCTGTGATGATGTTGATGAATGCAAGACTGAAGGAGGATATTATGGCCATCACTGCAGAGTGAATACAACATGTGTTAACATTCCAGGTTCTTATGTCTGTGAATAGGTTATAAAAAGTGCCACTAAGGTTATAAAAATGCCACTAATAATTTTGAAATAAAAATAATATTAAATGAAATTTATTTGTTTGTATACTTTACAATTACTTTAAAACCTACACCAATGAGTTCTGTCAATTCGCTGATTATACTTTAAGTGTGTAAGTGGGCGACTTGTGTGTGAACATTCAGAATTACCGTCGTTTTCGGATTAATATTGCACTTTACATTCTGTAATAAAATCACGTAATTGAAGAAAAGAGTTTTCGGGCACAATAATTTTTAATTGTATAGTATTAGTAAATTTAAGTGAAAAAGATTGCTTATTTATTTGGAATACTTCCAGATAAGATCTTAAACACCTACATATGTATAAATAAGAATGTTTGTTCGCTATACATTCCTAAATCGCTCGACCCATTGCTATTGTGCTAACCGAGGGGGTGAAGCGGAGAGCTTCTCCCCACTTACCGGCTTGGCTGTCAGGAAATGGCTATAGGAGGGCTATAGGAGTGGGAGGCGTAATGAAGTCGTGACGAGATGTCGGAAGTACTTAACAAGAGTCATTAAATTAGGAATAACATATTTAATATAAACTTAAAAATAATACAAATACATTAAAATTACACCTTAATTCTAAACAATATGTAAGCGATAATTATAATAAATTCCGAGTCGCGACGATATCGGACAACCGATGTCCGTTTATCCTGTATGTGAGAAGGTCCTCCACACAATATGACGAAGTTCTATCAAAAAGGAACAGAATAAACAATCTCTAAGTCCCGAGCATATCGGTAAACGACTATTTTCTAAAGCCTGGACTCCACATTACTGGAATCCGCGACTTAATCGTAAAACTGAAAGCCAAACTGACGAAACTTCCGGTTTTGGAACGTTCTGTTGGACAGAAAAAAGACTGAAAGCAGAGTTAAAAATTATTTAACTTTTCCGTTTTCGTTCGTCGCTTCTGTCGTACTGCAACCAATAAAAACGCGAGGATTTTGTGACGCGTAATTACGTGTATTTGTCACGTGCAGTTTGAAATAGACACAATGGCGGNTATATTTATCATGTGTTGAATAGTATGTGTAAATATATTAATATTAAAATAATATTCCATTCAGTTTTATGCGGATGACGCCTGATGTGTTCGATTATATATTGGAGATGGTTTCTCCCTTGATAGAGAAAAAAGATACGTTTTGGCGCAAAAGTATATCATCGAATGAAAGATTGGCTTTAACTTTAAGGTACTGTAAATAGCCTATACGTTGTTATTATTTAATCCGATATTTGCCAACATTTAGAATAAAGTCACAAAAGTTTCCACGTGACATACCCTTGTAATTGCTTTAAATTTAATAATAATTGTTCTGTTATTGATTTCTAGCACAAACACTGCTTTTATATTTATATTTTTCATTTACGAGATATAGTTAATTTTTTAAAATATTTATTTTAACCTATTGCAGTAGCTTACTAAAATTATTATTACCTTAATTTCTTCTGTGTATATTCTGACAACAAACGATTTTACAGGTTTCTAGCAACTGGAGAGACCTACCGAAGTCTGAGCTTCTCATNATACAGTTCAGTTAACAATATGTCCTCTTCAAGGGAAATTTCAAATTTAATACATGAAGGTTTGGTATCAAGGTTTTGTGAATACCTTGATGCCAGATTGAGAAACTTGAATCCCAGAAACAGACAAGAGGCCATTCATGGCATTGAATTGCTAATGCAAGAAAAAGAAAAGACAAATAATGAGTTTTAATAATTATTGTACAGTAGCTTATATAGTGTTTTAATAGAAGATGTATCAATATAAGCAGTTGATTTTAAATTGTACTCCAATGAAGTTTTTACTTCATTCTTAATATAATTTATTTAAATAAATTTGATTCGTAAGATGTGTGTNTTTTAATATTTTGTCCGGTTTTTTCTATATTTGATTGTTTGGCAGATTATCGTTTGATATTCGGCTGTGAATGATACAGTTTCTTAGAGTTAACATGAGGAAAAGATATGATATTTGAAAACAATGAAGATACATTTTCAAATGGTGTCTACCAATGAAATGGTGCCATTTCGTACTGTCCGAGTATTGCCATAAACAGGACAATTGTAGGCTGAAATAACCGAAACTTTATATGATTTTCGTTTTAATATTCGTTATAATATAGCATCTGATTTCTATTTTGAGTTATATTGTGAAATGAAGAAACTTCATAATTTTAAATGTTGCTGGTAATATTTTAAACTACATGAAAAAGTATTTGGAAGTAAATCATTTATCTGATGTTTCAATAAATTTTATTTATATTCTATCAGAAATACATTCTGCGAATTGTTTTGAATGGCATAAAGTTTCTTTTATTTTCATAACAGATTAATTAATACATAATAGAACTCAGTTCAAAGCAAAGTTTGCATTAATAAAACAAATATTTTTCGCTATGTTTTGTTAGTTCATTAAGAAAAATATAAATTTTTCTGCATTTGTGTTACGTACGAATGTATCACAAGGTAAGCCTGGACTCCACATTACCTGAAAACAGAAACTCAGAAACAGAACTGAAACATATAGAGTTTTCGTTTCAGTTATTTTTTCGTTTTAACTTGACTCCACTAGCACCGAAATGAATTTTACGTCGAAATGCGCCGTCTGTTGATCAGTTCAGTAATTGTCGTAGAGTCAAACATGGACGACGCTACGGATTTTGCCATGCTCTCTCTTCAT